TTGAATGGGTTGAGAACCATCCCAACTGTTAACCAGGCTGGTAAAGACCGGTCAGGTATATAAATATTATATAGAGCTGCGGCTCATCGGTCGGTTGCGATCGACCCCTCCGTAGTGTGAGATGGGGCAGGGTGCTGCGGGGCCGTGTCAGAGCTATATGCGCTGACCCTCATGTATGGGCATGCAATTGGTCCTGTGGCGCAAACAAAGTGTGCTATATGATGAGATAAGAAGGATTGATGTTGTGACTGTGATAGGACTCTTGCTAGTAATGCTAAATTGTGATTATTGGTTGTGTTTATCTATGACTGTTTCCTGTGTGAGAATTGTATATGCTTGGTTGTGACTATAGACGGTGTGTACCCCTATTTGTCGAGTCGGTTCCCTGATTTCAAAGCTAGAGTCTCGTAGGATATATCTTCATGCTTCGAAATGACTTTTCGTATATCTATGTATATATATATATATATATATATATATATATATATATATATATATATATATATATATATATATATATATATATATATATATATATATATATATATATATATATATATATGTATGTATTGTATTTCAACGCGTTGGAGTGGGTTACCAGCATCTCTCGCTGAACAGATATATTTGGCTTTCAGGCACAAAAGAATAAGTCACTAGAGCGCGCTAGAACTTGGAACGTAGAAGTAGATAGTTTCCCTTTCGGCCTGCGTGCCATGTTTATGCATTTACATTATTGAGGAAATTAGTTAGTTAGCCTGTGCACCTGAGTTCTCTAGCTCAGGTGTGGCATAGCACCCCGTACTCTTGTATTATGTTTTGGGATTTAATGAGATTTCACCTTTATTTCATAAGTTTTAAAAGTCTTGAAAATCTGGGGTGTTACAACCACCATCGACCAAAATCTACCGACGAATGGAAAATCTCTGCTCACCGCCTCAGGTGATGATGCCTTTCTCGAATTCGACCTCTATTTATAATTTTTCACCCCAACAGCTTCTCCTATCTCTACCATAATTTCTCTGATGCTAGGTTTTCATTGAAGAGTGTTAACTAGGGAACGCAGAGTATTTCTCTCGTCCAGGCCTTCCGCTATTCAACTGATTCCCCAAAAGACCAGATTTGTTAACGATCCACGCCGTCCGGACTTTGGTTTGACGACTCCTCCGATACTCTGGTTTGCGTCGATTAGCTCTGCGCCTTTCTATTTCGATCGAGTACATCATTGACTGGCAGAAAAGAGAACCATGTGCTTACAATTTGGGCTGGCCAACTAAAAATGCTAAAAGTCCACTTGACAATAACTCAATAACAATAATAATAATAATAATAATAATAATAATAATAATAATAATAATAACAATAATAACAATAATAACAATAATAATAATAATAATAATAATAATAGTAATAATAGTAATAATAGTAATAATAGTAATAATAGTAATAATAATAATAATAATAATAATAATAATAATAATAATAATAAGCACAATTCTTTATTACTTAAACAAGACTAATTGCAAAACACATAATAAAAATATATTTTAAAATGTATATTTATTGTAAAAAGTCTATTTAAAACAATAATAAAATAATTTTCATCAAATTTCTCCACACTTATTTATTTGCATGTTCTCAAGCAAAGACATTATTAAAAAGAAAAAATAAAATAAAATAAAAATAAAATCAAGTATTAGATCGAGCTTTACCCAAATAGCCTTTCAAATTTATTTGCTTCATCCATACAAATTAATGTCAACTCAAAGAATGCATAAAACACTTGACTAGAAGTTTGTATTATAATATCATGCTATTCAAATAAAAATAAGGAAATATGTGCATGTGTGCTACTACCATTTATATGAGATATACAAAAAAAAAAAAAAAAAAAAAAAAAAACCCAATAAAATAAATATGAAAAATTCACCAAATACAACCTAAGCCAAATTCGAAAAAATTATATCACAGTGCAGGTTCAAAATATGAAGGAAACAAGAATCGAAGGCATTTATTTAAAACTAAAATGCAAATATTCATCTCTTCCAAAGTTCACTCATCATCAGAATTATTCAGCCCCAAAACGACGTCGTTTTGGGGCTTTTATATATATATATATATATATATATATATATATATATATATATATATATATATATATATATATATATATATATATATATATATATATATAAAGTTTCATTTGTTTGCTTGGCCTGCGAGGTTGCGAGAAGAAAGAGCCGAAGCTCGACAGATCTGAGACGCCACCGCCCACCGCCCACCACCGTCCACCGTTCGCCCGTTCTTCTCTTCTCTTCCGTGTGCGGTATGCTCTCAGCGACTCAACCTCTCACCGTTCGTCCGTTCTTCTCTTCTCTTCCGTGTGCGGTTTACACATTCTGCCTTTCTGGCCTTTCTCGCAAAATTACAAGTCGGAACTGCCACTCTGCCAGGTAAGGTTCAAATGTTCAAATTACTTCAATTTTGTTGGTTTAATTTTCTTTAATTTGCTGGTTTAATTTATGTTCATGTTCAATTCTTACCCAGTTACCCTAAATCCTAATTTGATTTTTGTTTCCCCTCTTACCCTAAATCCTAATTTGATTTAATTTTGGCATAATCTGATAATTTTTGATTTAGCTATCTCAATAGACAATAGCTAAAGCCTAAATGAGGAATGAGGAAGCAAAACATTGTTATTGTATGTCTGTATAACTATATTATTCTGTGAGCAGTGAGGAAACTTAGAAATGAGGAATGACCAAATGACCGAATGAGGAAATTGTTACTGAGGAATGAGGAATGACCGAATCAGGAAATTTTTTGATAATTTCTAATTGTATTATTCTGTGATTTCTTAATTATGTTTGTTTTAAATGGCTAAATCTTAATTTGAAAGAGCACTTAAACAGAGGTTATCTAGAATGTTCAAGCTGCATTATTAAAGCTCATTGTGATTATGTAAACTATAATGTGTTTAATTATCTAGAATGTAAGCTGCACTTAATATACTTGGCAGTTGGCACTGCAATTTGCAATGTTTGGTAACAATTGTGACTCATTATGGGCAAAAGTGCCAGAAAGGCAAAAAAAACAAATTAATTTTCATTGTGATTAAAAGCTCATATAAACCGTTTATGATTGCCTATCTGAATATTGCTACTGTATTATTCTGTGATTTCTTAATTGTGTAAATTATGTTGGTTCACTTGGTTGTCAATTTGTAATGAATAATGAATTATATGTTAATATGTTATTCATTTGTTGGAAATTTGGTTCAGTTATGGAAAAATTCTTTAAAAGAAAATCAACTTTTGGGATTCATCTAGTCAGGGTAGTCCCGAAGTGTCAAGTGCAAGGCCTCGTATTGAATTTAACATAGATGAACTTGAAGTTGATCCGGCTAAAAGGAAAAGTATTTATGAGTGTCATATCAATAATAGAGATATTGTGCGACGAACATATCTACAAATTGGTCCTTGTTAACCAAAAAATCATACTTTTCCTACTAGAGTGATTACGGGTGTTAATAGGAGATTTAATCCTAAATGGTTTAAGAGTAATTGGTTGGAGTATAGTGTATCAGAAGATGCAGCATATTGTTTATGTTGTTATATATTCAAAGATGAAAGCAGCGGGCAACAAGCAGGAGGAGAGTCATTTGTTACAGAAGGTTTCAACAATTGGAAAAAAGGACCGGAAAGGTTGCGTGCACATGTTGGTAATCATAATAGTGTTCATGCAAGGAACGTACAAGCTTGTCGAGACTTAATGACTCAAGAGCAACACATACAAGTTTGTGTATCAAAACACTCAGAGCAATCGAAACAAGACTATCGTATTCGATTGAATTCATCAGTTGAATGTATGCGGTTTCTTTTAAGGCAAGGACTTCCTTTTCGTGGAGATGATGAAAGCTACGACTCACTTAATCGAGGGAACTTCATTGAGGCCTTAAAGTTACTTGCTAAAAATAATGAAAATATTGCCAAAGTAGTGTTGCAAAATGCACCTGAAAATCACCAACTGACTGCCCCTAAAATTCAAAAAGATATAGCTAATGCAATTGAAAGTGAGGTAACCCAAGTAATAATCAAAGATCTTGATGAAGAATTATTTGGAATAATGGTTGATGAGTCGAGAGATATATCAGTTAAAGAGCAGATGATTGTGTTTATTCGGTATGTGGATTCAAGTGGACATATTGTTGAGCGTCTTCTTGGCATTGTTCATGTTTGTGGCACTACTTCTATGTCTCTTAAAGTAGCCATTGAAGATCTTCTAACAAGGCGTGGATTAAGCATTTCAAGAATAAGAGGCTAGGGCTATGATGGAGCAAGTAATATGCGAGGTGCGTTCAATGGTCTTAAAAATTTGATTATGGATGAGAATCCAAGTGCTTTTTATGTTCATTGTTTCGCTCATCAATTACAACTAGCACTTGTGGGTGTTGCAAAGGAAAATGAAGAAGTTCGAGATTTTTTTTTCACTGTCTCGCAATTGTGTAATATTGTTTGTGCTTCATGTAAGCGCATGGATAGTTTACAAGACAAACAATTAAAGGTGTTAATTAATTCAATTTCTGATGATACAATTCAAATGGGAACTGGTTTGAATCAAGAAAGAGTTTTAAAACGTCATGGTGATACACATTGGGGATCTCATTATGGTGCACTTTTGAGCATTGTCACATTATTTTCTCCGGTGATTGATGTTCTTGACGAAATAAGGCAGGATCCAAAACAAGATGCAATTAGAGTATTGAAGAATATGTTATGTTTTGATTTTGTGTTTTGGTTGCACTTAATGAGGGATGTCTTAGGAATTACCAATGATTTGTCACATGCGCTACAAAAGAAAGATCAGAACATTGTGAATGCCATGAGACTAGTTGATCTCTAAAAAAAAAAAAGAGATTGCAAATGATGAGAGATGATGGGTGGGAAGCTCTTTTACACGAAGTTTCACTCTTTTGCAACAAGCATTCAATTCCCATACCTAATATGGATGAAGTTTATGTAGTTCCAGGAAGACCTCGCCGTAAAGCTGAAGAAATGACTCATCTTCATAGGTACCATGTTGAAAGCTTTTATGTGGTTTTAGATCTACAACTTCAGGAGCTAAACAACCGTTTCAATGAGAAGAATACAGAGTTGCTTTTATGCGTGGCATGTTTTTATCCAAAGAATTCATTTGCTAGGTTTGATAAAGATAAATTGGTTCGATTGGCACAGTTCTATCCAAATGATTTTTCTAGTATTGAACTTCAAGTACTAGATACCCAACTGCAGACTTATTTTATTGATGTAACTTCTGATCCTGCTTTCTCTACATTGGATGGTATTGATGAATTAGCTCAAAAAATGGTGGAAACAGGAAGACATTTGGACTATACGTTGGTGTATTTGCTTCTAAAGTTGTCTTTGATCCTACCGGTTGCAACTGCTAGTGTGGAAAGAGCATTTTCTGCTATGAAGTTAATCAAGACATCTTTACGCAACCGGATGAGCGATGATTTATTAAATGATTGCTTAGTGTCGTACGTTGAAAAAGATATTTTTGATCAAGTTTCAAATGAAGCAGTTCTACAACGATTTCAAAATATGAAAGAGAATAGAGGAATATTATCCCGTAGTTCATCATAAACCTTGTATGGTAATTTATAATGTATTTTGTATTTTAACTATCTTATGTGTATTTGAACTTTGTATTTGAACATTTTTTAATTTATTTTCCCTTTGCTTCTTTGCCCCCACTGAAGAAAAATCCTGGGTCCACCACTGCTCATCATTTCTTTGTTTATGACTTTTTTCAAAGAGAATTTCTCCAAAAATCTCACCATTTTACACCAAGCATGTTAAAGTTTTCAATTATGTGTGTATGATAAGTGCTAAAGATACTACCTTTTATGAGTCATTTAGGGGTTGTGTTGTACTTAATTGGAATCCTTTGTGGTTGATTTGTGTTGGAAATGCTTTGAAATGTGCTAATGTGTTGCATAGCCCTATAAATATGTACACTTTAGTGTTTTGAAGTCTATTGAGCTTAAAGGGGGGCATATGGGCTTGAAATGGAGTAACAGAGGAAGAGTGCAATGGAGAAAAACGCTGCAGACCTTGTCACGAGTGAGCCACGTTCGTGACCAGGTCGTGATAGGGAACCAGAAGATGTCACAAGTTGATTCACGTTCATGACTGGGGCCGAATGCTGAAAACTGGGCAGCGTACGAGGGTACGCCTGCTCGTACACCCATCAGAATCGGCATTTTAAATAAAGGCTTGTGGCGGGATTGACTATCTACCTTTCATTCTATCTTTCCGTTTTGTAATTTTGAGAGCTTTGTAGCTTAGAACTTTCTCTCTCTAGGTTAGATACACTTCTAGATCAAGCTAGCTTTCTCTCTAATCTCTCCATCCTAGCAAGAGGATCTTCAAGGTTGTAGGAGGAATTGACAACTTCTCTTGTAATCTTGGATTGTCTTCTTCAATGATGATTGATTGCAATTGCTATTGAATAGGTAACTTCATTGCATCTAATTCTTATAATTGCCTCCATTGATTGCTCAATTGCTTTTGTATTTCAATCTAGATCAATAATTCTTGGCTAGAATCTTCATGTGAATTGGATCTCATTTCCTTGTGTTATGTATGAATTGATCAAGGTAATTGTGGCTATGTGTTGATGTCTTGTTGTAAGAGGAATGCTTATATTGACTCGTGTGTGTGAAATGCACCACATGCATGAAGGTTTAGGTAGGTTTATGCTTGCAAGAGATTGATGCCTAATCCTAGACGCCTTCCCCTTGCAATTCACGCCCTAAGTCCGAGAAGAGAAGGTCTGGAATGAGATGTAGACAACATGTTTGATTAAATGCCTCATAGGGAATGATGATACTAGCGTGCTTCCTTGCCTATGATAGTCCATGTAGGCCAAGAGGAACAAGGCATTGGAAGTCATCTCACATAGACTCAATTCACCATATAGTTCTACTTCTTGCCTAGATTTATTCATTTCACATGCTCAATGGCGGGCAATCCAATTCACCTCTATCTTCAAAGGTTTTTGATTTTTCTTCTAACACTAACTGACCGATGAATTGATCACACAATTCATTTATGTCTTTCAGTTCAGTTAGGTAGGTTATGAAATTTGGACCAAAATTTTTCTCTGTTATAGGTCTTTTACTCCTTCTGGGTTCATCAGGATTGTTATCAACACTAGACACATGAAGTAGTACATGTTCATTTCTTTGAATACTATCACCAGATAAATTGTGAGTTCTTTAAAGGAAAGATGTGTTCAAAGAAGATAACATCTCTAGATTCACATATTGAACGACTTTCTAAGTACATAAATCTATAAGCGGCACTATTCTCAACATAGCTAACAAATATAGCTAACAGACCAGTGGATTACCCGTTAGTCTCTACACGCTGGTCAATAGTCGTTTGAAATTGGCTTCCCTCCAATGGAACCATTTCAACGTCCATATAAATACTTTCTTCCAAGACTGAAAAAGGAGTTGGTCAAATTTAATATTTTTAAGTGTTCAAAGCTTACAAGTGTTTTTCATCTAACGACTAGTGTTTGAGAAAGAGGGACAAGCTACAAAGTTTATATCCACATTACAAGAGACTTGAGCTGCTTTCATAGAGAATAACAAGATCATCAAGCCAAGCTCTCTTTGTTGGAGAAAGAATTATTTTCTTCCAACTTGTAGTCTCTACTCGATAGTAGTAGAAAGAGGCGGAGTAAACCCAGTGAAGAGTTGAAAAACCTAGTGGAGTTCACGATTGACTTTGTGTTCAAAGCGTGAACGTCCAGTTATTGTACTAAGGGACTAGTGCAATCCTCCTAGGAGTTCCAAGGAGAAGAGTGGAGTAGGCTGCGTTAGCCGAACCCCCCCCCCCCCCCCCCCCCTCTCTCTCTCTCTCTCTCTCTCTCTCTCTCTCTCTCTCTCTCTCTCTATCTACCTACCTACCTACCTACCTACCTACCTACCTACCTACCTACCTACCTACCTATCTATCTATCTATCTATCTATCTATCTATCTATATATCTATCTATCTATCTATCTATCTATCTATACTTACTGCTATATTCATAACCAAAACCAACATTTTACAAAGATTAAAAATTACGTGCAAATAAACTTTAAAAAGGGTTAATTCAATTTTAGTTGTGCATACTCCCAAAATGTTAAAGTCACCTCTTGGGTACTTTAACGAATTGTGTAAGTTCTCTAAATTTATACACGTCTATTCACCCCCTCCCCCTTATAGACTTATACTCTAACTGTCACCGGGACCAACATTTATCATTAATGATTTTTCTCATAAAGTCTTGGTTTACTTTTTGAAACATAAAAATGAAGCATTTTCTATTTTCAAAAGGTGAAAAATACTTGCTGAGACTCAGATAGGGAAAAGGTTTAAGAAGTTCACAACGGATAATGACTTGAAGTTCAGTGAGTCAGATTTCAATGAGTTCTGCGTAGCTAATGGAATCGCCAGGCACAAGACCTTGGCAAGTAAACCCTAGCAGAATGGTGTTGTAGAACGAATGAACATGACGCTATTAGAGAGAGCTAGTTGTATGCTCTCTAATGCTGGGTTGCGGAAGCAACACAATTTTTGGGTCAAAGCTGTTTCTACTACATGCTATTTAGTGAATAGATCTCCGTATTCATCCATTGGTTTCAAAATTCTAGAAGAGTTTTAGTCAAGTAACCTCGTTGGTTATTTTGTCTTGAAAGTGTTTGGATGTCCTGCATATGCTCATTCTGGAAAATTATATCCTAGAGCTATCAAATGCATTTTCTTGGCTATGCCCCTGAGTCAAAAGGTTCTCATCTATTGCCTCTTGATTCTCAAAAATTATTCTAAGTTGAGATATTACTTTTGATGACAATGCATTACTTTCTTCTAGAAAAGATTCTATTGTTCCTAGTACAAGTGATAAACAAAGTACTAGAGAGAATGTGGAGTTAGAACTGAGGCCTAGTGACAGTATTATTATTGTTGATGATAATATTACAGATGATGTATCTATTGGTATTGCACCCTCTCGTTGAGCCACAACAAGAATATTCTATTGCCCAAGATAGGCCTAGGATGACAATTAAAAAAACTGCTAGGTATGTTGCTTATGTTGAAGTCCACTTGGTTGCTTATGTTGAAGTTCACTTGGTTGCTTATGTTCTTTTAGTTGCGCAGGAGGTTGATAGTGATCCATCCTACTATTTTGAGGTTATTTCATGTACTAACTCATCCAAGTGGTGGTTCCTATGCAAGAAGAGATGGAAAATCTTCACAAAAATAAGACTTGGGGGCTGGTAAAGTTGCTAGAGGGTAAACACATATTGGTATGTAAGTGGATTTAAAAGAAATAAGGAATCCCTGGAGTTGAGAAAGCACGATGGATGACACGGTTGGGTAGCAAAGAAAATTATTGGCATGGAGATACACAAGGATAGTCAAGCTAGTAAGCTTTATCTATCCCAAAAAAATATGTTCGAAAAGTGCTTGAATATGTCTAATTGTAAACTCGTGTCTACTCTACTTGGTGCACACTTTAAGTTATCTTCTAAACTATGCCCTAAGTCAGACGCTGATGTGGCTTATATGCAAAAGGTTCCTTACTCTAGTGTTGTATGTAGGTAGTATTATGTATGCTATGGTATGCATTAGACATGATCTAACTTATGATGTAAGTGCTGTGACCCGATATATACATAACCCTGGTAAGAAATATTGGAACGCTATCAAATGGATTTTACAGTACATGAGGGGTATTTCTTCTTTGGGCATGGTTTTGTATCAGAATTCTTCTATACCTATTGGCATTGTGGGCTTTGTAGATTCTAATTATGCTGGTGATCTTGATAGATTTCGGTCACTTTTTAGTTATATTTTCAATTTTTGTAATTGTGCTATTAGTTGGTGGAAAGTTAACCTCCAATCCCACTACTGGAAATTCTGAAATTTCCGACCACCTGAAAGTGATCTTAAATCAAGTTGAAAGTCTTGTTCCGACCACTTTTGGTATCCAGAAAAACCTTTGTTGCTATTTCCGACCACTTTTTGGACTTTTTGGTATCAACTTAATTTAAGATCATTTTCAGGTGGTCGGAAATTTCAGAATTTCCAGTAGTGTCCATTGCTACATTATCCACAACTGAGACAGAATATATTGCAACAACATAAAGCAATTTGGATACCAGGATTAATTTTGGAACTTCATGTTTCACAGAATTAGACTATTGTGTTTTCAAATAGTCAAAGTGCTTTTATCTCACCAAGAATGATACTTATCATGTCAAAACCAAATGTATTAATGTTACACACACACACACACACACACACACACACACACACACACACACACACACACACACCACACACACACACACACACACACACACACACACACACACACACACACACACACACACACACACACACATATATATATATATATATATATATATATATATATATATATATATATATATATATATATATATATATTATTTCATCCGAGACGTCATAGTTGCAGGTCATATAATCATTCAGAAGGTCCATACAGTTGAGAATAAGACACCCATGCTCACCAATCCTCTTTCTATTGCTAAATTCAAGCAATGCTTGAATTTAGTTATTTGTTCTAATTGTTAACTTTCTAATGGATTTGATGAAAGATGGAGATCGTTGACAAAGTATTGTAGCTAACAATCCATGAAAATTCATGTTAATTCTTCATTTGCCACGTTCTACATGAAGACATCATTTCTTCATTTGGTGCAGAGTGACAACACCGGCATTTGCTCTCCTCCAAGCATTATTACCGCATGTATCTAATCTTCGATCAATGTCACCTTTTGTTGCATGCATGTAGTATAAATATATACTTTTCGTGAGGATGAGACTGTCATTATAGCTATGAACAGAGTTGTGATGCTGCCGTTTGCACAAGATTAAGAGAAAAAAACAAAGAAGAACGTAACATGAATGGGCGATTTCTCGATCCGATCGCAAAAATCTGTATAGGTGAGGGCCTTTTGATTGATGAACTTGTGATTAGGCAAACTGAGCCGTTGATCAGCTTTCGAGCTTCATTTATGGGTTAGGATTATTTATCTTAACAATGCTCTTATACAAAATTATCTATAGAGTATAATTTAGGCATTAATATTAATCTTCATATCATTAATATAATTTTTAAGCTTTTGTAATTTAAACATCCTAATCCTAATTCTAATTTCTAATTATGATTCCAATTTGCAAGTGCTCAAACCTTACCAGACACAGTATATTTGGTTTGTTTTGCCTTTTTCATTTCCTTTGTAATAATTGCAATATTTGTTAATTGATGGTAATTAATGGTGTTATGGAATAGAATAATTGACTAATAGAGGATCGAATTCTTGAACTTTGGCTAAGGATGGATGAGTCCCTTCTACTCAACCACGCCCCCTGGGTTTTATTACTTGCTCTTCAAGTTGGTTGGATTATTTGTTTAAATTTTTAACAAAAAATGACATTTTTAAGTGATTATTTTGTGGTACAAATATATGTGGGGTCCACTTCTTATTTAGATCGGGTCAAAGTGAATATGCACTCTTCGTAGTGAGACGAAATAATTGATATATTGTACGCTCAAAACGGATAATGTGAATGAGAAATTTAGTCTTAAAGTAGACCCATTTGAATTGGAAAATGAAATTGGGAGGGCTTGGAAGAGTAGTTTTTGTCCCACATTGATTTAAGAAGTAGATTTGCACCACTATATATACAATAGTACCCTTTTAGAGAGAGTTTGACTTGTATAATTTAAGTTGTGAGAGGCGTATTTGTTTGAGTACAACATTCAAATCGTGATTCATTCACTCCTAACACCATCGGGAGGAAGCGAATTGATTTTTAAAGAAACAAAACCTTGATCTTTCATCGTTTATTCTGTGAGTTTATATTCTTAGAATTGAATCTTTTTGTTTTTATTTTTGTATAAATAAATTTGATCTTTTGGTTTCGTACCTATTTTGGTTGGGATTAATATTTTTATAAATTTGAATCTCGTTGTTTATTTATATATAAATTTGTTATCAATTTATTCTCCCTTACACAATCATCTTGGTAACTACAAGATTTTAAGTTCAACTCATTGACTTTCTTGGTCCATCAACTATAGACAATCTAAACAAGTTTACTTCCTTGTGGTATACTTTACAAACTAAGGTTACAAAGCTAAATTTACCAAATGCACACGTAATAGTTGCAATTATATTGTATAATGTACATTTAATACAAAAATAATGTACATTTAGTTTATTAAAAATGTACATTTTATTATGGTCCACGTAACATTGTGTGGACCTTTGCCCCCCACGTAATAGTTGCAAGTATACTTATGATATGATTGACTTTAACACAAATTTATCTAATAAATCTACATCAACTTGTACAAAATGTCACTAAAAATTTGATACAGATATAGCATTACCCATTTCAAAGTGGCTTATCTGGTTGAAAAAATTTTGTTTGTGGACTCAAAAATGGTCTCCTTTGTTTACTTGATTGGGTAAGATGTGTAAATTATGTACCATGTAACCATATCCTTTCAGACAAAAAAAAAAAAAAAAAAAAAAAAAAAAAAAGTGTAGGGGTTATAAATACAACAACTGAAAGCTGCAATTATCAACAAATAGTTAACAGAGCAGCTGTTCATCAGGAATAGGAATATTGAAAACATCAGCCAAAGCTCACTAGGGAGTATTTCAGATGTAATTTGTATATACAAGAAAAGAAGTGACAAATTTTTTTTTTCTTTTTCTTTCTTTGAAGGAAAACCTTTGCTTCATCATGGAGGAGTTTAAGCAGAAGCTGCAGCCTCATCTTCCACCATCTGTGATACCGGAAGAAGGGTGCAAATAAGGTTTCGGTCTCCATACACGTTGTCCACACGCCCTGATACAACACTTATTTTTGTTAGTTATTCGCCTCATTCGAGAAAAATAGAATTGCAGAATGTAACCAACGGAACCACAGGATATGGTTTTAAGAAGGATATGACAACCAAATAGCCAAAGAACTCTGAAAATATACCTGTAGTTGGCCAGAATTTGGCAGTCTTGAGCCATTGAGCAGGGAAGGCAGCATACTCCCTAGAGTACGGTTTTGTCCATGCATCCGCCATAAGTAGCGAGGGAGGATGAGGGGCATTCTGCAACGTACAGCTCGTTAGTTTCTTCTATTTTCGTCTGACAAGGCTCGGGGAGAACGAAAACAAGCAAAGAAACATGCCCAGAATCCATAAGATCGAGATTTTTACCTTAAGAACATTGTTGTTAATATCGAACTTGCCTTTCTCGATCTGTGCAATTTCTTCTCTGATGGAGATAAGTGTGTCACAGAACCTATCTAACTCTGCCTGCAAAACATATACCCCCAGCATACACAAATACTTTAATAACTTCTAAATGAATATAATGAAGCACTTCACTACTGGTTAGTATGAATATGTATAGGGCTCCTCAGCTCAGCTCGTTCGTACCTTGCTCTCACTTTCGGTTGGCTCAATCATTAGCGTGCCAGGGACAGGCCACGACATGGTCGGTCCGTGAAATCCATAGTCCATAAGACGTTTAGCAACATCTTCGGCCTCTATTCCAGCAGTGTTCTGAAGCAGTAGTGGTGTCCCGGTTATGGTTATGGAGAGGCAGAAGAAGTAAAATATATATAGTTTATAGAAGTATAGCTACCTTAAAGCCCCTCAAGTCGATAATGAATTCATGAGCAACGGTTCCATTGACACCACGGAATAGAACGGGGTAGTGCTTCTGTTAGTTGAGCAAACCACAGAAAGAATATAAGAGAGAACATATGGATTTATAAGGTCATGAGTTAGACTAGCTAATTGATTAGATTGACTCAATCTTAGATTATAACACAGGCCAAATAATCTCGATCTTGAATGATACAGAACCAATCACGGAAACAAATAGTACAATAAGAAGAAAACGGACCTCTAAACGCTTAGCCATGTAGTTAGCATTCAATATAGCTATCTTTGATGCATCAGTAAGTCCCTGGGAGCCCATCATGGCAATGTAGGTATATGATATCGGCAAGATAAGAGCAGAACCCCAAGGTGCAGCTGAGATAGCACCAAGAGGCTGGCTCTTGTCTGGGGATGGGATGCCTCCAGTTGGTACCTTCACGAGAGGCGAGCATTAGAGATGTTGCAAGTCGAAAAAATAAGAGAGAATATATAGGTTTATAAGGCCATGAGTTAGACTAGCTAATTGATTGGATTCAGTCGTTTAAAGTTAAGGGCATACCACAGGATGTGAGGGTAAAAATGGTGCCAAATGCTTCTTCACACCAATAGGACCCATGCCAGGACCGCCTCCACCGTGAGGAATGCAGAATGTCTTGTGGAGATTTAGATGGCAAACATCGGCACCAATAAAACCCGGGCTTGTCAAACCAACCTATGAAGACAAATAAAAAGCCAAAGACAGAAAGAGGATCAAATTTTGCATCATATATGGTTATATACCAAACAACTAGGAAAAAAAATTCAGGATAAGGAATAGGCCTATTCCCGGGAATGCTACTCCATTCCAGGCCTACTCCGCGAACCAAACATGCTGCAAAAGAAATAATACCTACCTGAGCATTCATATTGGCTCCATCCATGTAAACTTGGCCACCGTTGTCATGAATTATCTTGCATATCTCATCGATGCCTTCCTCATAGACTCCATGCGTGGAAGGATACGTAACCTAGTATTCAAATTTCGAATTCTCAAATTCACAAAACACAGTTTATAAACCTCACTAAAACCATGAAGTATACTATATATACATACCATCAGAGCAGCCAGGTTATCCTTATTTTTCTCAGCAGCCTTCCTTAATTCCTCAATGTTAATGTTCCCTTTCGCATCAGTCCCAACAGCAACGATTTTCATCCCACACATGGCAGCACTCGCGGGATTTGTTCCATGTGCTGATACCGGTATGATGCATACATCGCGGTGATGGTCACCTCTTGCCTACCGTAAAAAGGATATATGAAGCTAAGTCAGAGGTTCAAAACTAGAAATGCTCATACTACAACTATCCAAAATGGATACGAGGTGAACACGGGAAGTAACAGTTTATAACAGGGGTGTTTGGTAAATTAACAATATACCTGATGATATGCACGAATAACCATCAGTCCAGCATACTCTCCAGAAGCACCAGCATTTGGTTGCAGGGAGAAGGAATCAAATCCTGTAATTGTACACAATAGGGCACCCAAATCGTCGAACATTTCCTGGATGAAAAAAAAGTCGGTCCAATTATTAGTTCAACACGAACAGATCAAAGTAAACCAAATACGTACTATATATGGGCCGGTTTTTCAGATTATTGCAGGTAACGAACCTGATATCCTTCGGCCTGTTCAACGGGAACAAACGGGTGAATATCTGTAAAGCCAGGCCATGTGACAGGCATCATCTCTGTGGTAGCATTCAACTTCATAGTACAGGATCCAAGAGGAATCATGCTATGGCACAGAGATAAGTCCTTTGCTTGCAGTCTATGAAGGTACCTAAGCAACTCGTGCTCGGTGTGGTACCTAAACAAAGGAAAGAATTATATACGCCAATACACACACACACACACACATATATATATATATATATATCAGAACAAAGATGAGTAACATCCAATAAGAAAAAGCCATACATGTTGAATATTGAGTGAGTTAAGAATGGACTCTCCCTTACTAGCCCAGTAGGGATCTTGTTTTGAACTTCTGCTGCAATGGATTCAGCACTGAATGGCACCTGCAAATTCACAATAACACAAGAGTTAACAAGGAAAACAAAATCAATACTACAATGGCACTGGGCTATAACGCACATGGGTCAAACCACACTAAAAGACTGAATCCAATCAATTAGATATAGTCTAACCATGACCTTATGAACCCATATGTTCTCTCTGGAACTCTTAACAAAAGCAAAAGGAGCAGTACTTACTGGCTTTCCACCAGCAAAAACTTTGAATAGTTTGTCTACATCTTCTAAGGTGGTTGTCTCATCAAACGATACGGTGATCTGAAAGGAAAATGCAGGTCTAATTACTTCACAATATAAGTAGCAGGAGGCACCTTTTCTGGTATAAAAGCTTATGCATGGAATCAATAAGATATTGAGTTTTTTTTCGTTAAATACTTTACAAAGTACACCTAACCAGACTTACAGTATTGCTGTCCACAACCCGCAAGTTAATCTCATGTTTGTATGCAGCTTCAGCAATTGCTTTTGCATCAGTGCACTTAACCTTCACAGTGTCAAAGAAGGGAAGTTCCTGTACTTGTACTGTCCCCAGCTTTTTCAGCCCAGATGCCAAAGTTCCAGCAAGACCATGAACACGTTGTGCAATTGTTTTAAGCCCTTCAGGTCCATGATAAACAGCATACATGGCAGCCATATTGGCAAGCAATGCCTGCAGTGCAGCAAAACAAAATTTATATTAAATAAGCAACTTGTTGGGCGGAGGCTGGTAAAGGGTCAAATCCATCAATTGGTGACTAAATTTATTGTTGGGTGGAGATAAGTAAAAGGCCAAGTCCAGCATCTTCTTGAAAATGTGATGACGGTCTATAAGAAAATAAAATTGAGCTTTCGCTATAAACATTTGATCTTAGCAAGTGGGATTGTTAGGCAAAGTCCATCAATTGGTGGCTAGAGAATTTTAACCACCAAGTCTGCCTAGGGGTATAATTCAGATTATCCGAACTAATACCCGAAACCCAAACCAAATCTTTAATTTCAGGTGAACTCGAATAAGTATTGGTTCTGATATATTTAATTATGGTATATCTGATTATAAATTCGATTCTGATATCAGGTGTTACAATTTTATATATTTATATACAACCTGAAATCCGAACTAACCAAAAATTTTATTATAGATATAAAAATATAAATCATATATTGACTACTAAATGTAATTTATAGTTAATATTATATTACACTTTTAATTTATTATTAGTATTTTGTCTTATTTTAAGGATGATAGTATACGGACAACTATAAATACACCAATACTCAAATTATTTTGAAACTCAAAATTGATAAAAATAAAATTTTAGGTATATCCAAACTAACCCAAATTAATTTCACCTGAACAAAACATATACAAATTAAATTTGGTTTGGATATCAATGTCAAAAATATCACCAGAAATTTTTCGGAAATTCACCCAAACCGACCGAACCGACACCTACCCAACCCTAACCCTTAAAAATGTGATGGCCGTTTATAAATTAATAAAGTTGTGCCTTCGCAAAGCATAATGGTAAGCGCTTGATTCTAAGAAAAGAATTAATGGGCGAAAGCCAGTAAAGGAAGGGCCAAATCCATGGCCACATAAATTGTTGGGCAAAGGCCGATAAGGGCCAAGCCCAGTACCTTAGAGTTAATAAAGTTGTGTATCCGGCCAAGTCTAGCACCTTAGAGTCTAAGGTTAATAAAGTTGTGCCCGGCCAAGTCCATCCATCACCTTAACTTATCTCCCAAAGAGTCTAAAGTTAATAAAGTTATGCCCGGCCAAGTCCAGCACCTTAGCTTATCTCCCAAACAGTCTAAAGTTAATAAAGTTGTGCCCGACCAAGTCCAGTACCTTAGCTTATCTCTCAAACAATCTAAAGTTAATAAAGTTATACATGACCAAGTCCAACACCTTAGCTTATCTCTCAAAGAGTCTAAAATTAATAAAGTTGCACCCTTCACTACAAACCACAGTTTTTGGGATAGTAAGTGCTTCATCCTAACCCAACTTCACTAACAAGCCATAATTTTCAAAATAGCATAACTAATAAGCAATGACAAGAATGTTTCATATGAATAGAAATATTAAGCATTGAATAATACCTGGGCAGTGCAAATGTTGCTGGTAGCTTTGTCCCTACGAATATGCTGCTCCCTAGTCTGCATTGCCATACGCAGAGCAGGCTTCCCAGAGGAATCAACACTAACCCCAATAATCCTTCCCGGCATCATTCTCTTATACTCTTGTGATGTAGCCAAGAAGGCAGCATGGGGTCCTCCATACCCCATGGGAACCCCAAACCTCTGAGCTGACCCAACCACAATATCCGCCCCCAATTCCCCCGGAGGCTTCAGCATTGTCAAAGCCAACAAATCAGACGCCATCACCACCTTCACCCCATGGGCATGCGCGTTCTTGATGAACTCCCCATAGTCCAAAACCTCGCCCTCCGTCCCGGGGTACTGAACCAGCACCCCGCAAACATCCCCACTCTTGTAATCAATGTCTTTCAGATCAGCCGTCACCACTTTCAGCTCGAACCCATCGGCCCGGGTTTTGCAGATATCAATGGTCTGGGGGTGACAGTTGCTGGCTATGATGAAAGTTTTCTTCTTCCCTTTGAATATATTGTTGCACATGGCCATTGCCTCAGCTGCGGCGGTGCCTTCGTCTAATAGAGAGGCGTTGGACATGGGGAGACCTGTGAGGTCTGTAATCATGGTCTGGAAATTTAGCAGGGATTCCAGGCGGCCCTGGGAGATCTCGGCCTGGTATGGGGTGTATTGGGTGTACCAGCCGGGGTTTTCCATGATGTTTCTTAGGATTACTGGGGGGACAAAGGTGTTGTAGTACCCCATTCCTATGTAGGACTTGAAAACCTTGTTTTTGGAAGCCAAGTTTTTCATGTGCTCAATCATCTGAGCCTCGGTGAGGCCATGGTCAAACTTGGGGAACTTCATGGAGTCGAGACGGATGGACTGAGGCACGGTGGCGTCGATCAGAGCGTCCAGGCTTGGAAAGCCGCAAAACTCCGCCATCTTCGACTGGTCCTCCGGGGTCGCCGAGTTGTGCCGCCGCGGGAAAGTGTCGCTCGGCTTCAAAGCCTCCACGGAAATGGACCGCCTCTGCTGATGGCTCGCCGGAAACCCAGCTCCGGCGCCGGAGTACCTCCGCTGGTTTTCGTACATTGCGGCGCACGGGGCTAACGAGGAAACGTACCTCGCCGGCCGGTGCAACGCCGCCGCCGGCGTCTCGTTCGCGCGAAGCTGTTTGGCCTCGTGAACCAGCCGCCTCAGAATCGCCCGGTTAGCAAGCTTGCGAGCACGCTCCATTGCCGGAAATTCAAGAAAACCCAAGACTTTTACAGAATTCACCCGGAAAGGATGAAAGGAAGAAGAGCTTTGCTCGGTTTACATAAAGGCCATACAGAGATATATAGTACTATACATGAAGCTTTTCACTGTACACTAGGGGAGTGGAAAATGACAGTGAAAAAATCTGGGTAATTTTTGAAATTTCGTGTATTTTTGTATGGAAGGGAACGAGTGGGAATGGATTGGGAATAAGTGGATGGAATGGAAATATTGGAGAAGAATGGAAAGAGAGCCGCAAAAAAAAAGATGGGATTATTAGGAAATGGAAGATTCTGTTCTTGGCCACTCGGGTGGCAAATTCTCTTTCACTGCTGGCTTATCGGAATCCCTCACCTCACAATTCTCTCACACACCCACATCGGTATCTATGGATATGTATGGTTTATCACCAAACTTTTAGGATCTGCGAGAAATAGTAGAATTGCGACTAGCAAGTAGGATCATATTTGTCCTCACCCCTTAGCTTGGTCCTTGCGGATACACACCAACCTTCACTACTGCTCAATATAAGTCATTCTATTAGTCAAGTACCTTGTGATTTGATGACATTAATGTGATCCTGCTAAATGGAAAGTTACAGATTCAAATCTCATCTCAATTAAGAATGTTGATTGATTTTACTTATCCCATTTAATTTTCTATATTTATTCATTAATCATTAGCTAATTAGGATGTTAGCTAAAGCTTTTGGTAAATTATTTGTTTATATTGATTTATTATGGTAAAGGAACCTAATAAACAAGCACAGTCTGAAAATTTATATGCTTGTTTGTTAAAAGCTCGTGATCGCATTCGTTAGTGTTCATTTAATAATGTTCATGAGCATGCTCTTCGTTTAAAATTGGTCAACGAATAAACTCATTTAAGTGTAGTTTTTTTATTTTAAAAAAAAAAAAAAAAAAAAAAGATACAACTTTAGTTACTAATGACCTTGTGATCTAGTGGCATGAATTGACTCTCCCAAATAAGAGGTTGAACAGATACTACATTATAACAGAGTTAGTAGTACTAAAAAAAAAAAATTACTACTTTAATTGAGCCTAATTTAAAAAAAAAAAAAAAAAAAAAAAAAAAAAAAAAAACTTTTAGTTATACTTTTCCTACCAATTATGAATTAACTTCTTCTCAGTTCTCATTCAATTTAGGTTTTAAACTTTTGATAAGTTATCATTCGATGCCCAGGGAAAAAGCACCCAAAACGAGGATCATGTACATGTGTTTGTTAGTTTAGCATTCACGAACGTGTTTGTTAACGTTAACGAACACTAATGAACGCTTAACAAATAAACAATAACAAAATTTTCAAAATTTTGAACAAATGAACACGATCATTCTAACAATCATTCTAATATATACGGATCAGTCGAGAATCACATGCCGAGCATAGGACTGAGAACCAATCATAGTCGTCCACGTGTTCAGATTTAACAGATTAGAAACACTGTTTTCTATAATAAAAAATATGGTGGAATTTTTGTAAATAATTAAACTTTAAAATTTAAGTAAATTATGTTAAAGGTGAAAGTAACACTTTTATATAGTGGACCAAAGTGCAAGTAAATGTATTAAAATTTAAAAGTGCAACTAAAAGGTATTAAAAGTGCAACAAATAATGTACACTGAGCATCAATATTAAGTGCACCTAACGTTATCATTAGTTGCACCAAACGTTACCATTAAGTGCACCAATGTTAAAGACGATATCATTAGGTGCACCAATGTTAAAAAGGTAAATTACTTACACTATTAAGTGAAAATATATGGTTGCACTTTTAAGTGATTTTACTATCACACGTGCACCAGTTACTTGCACTTTTAATACATGTTACTTGCACCAAACGTTACCATTAAGTGCACCAATGTTAAAGACGATATCATTAGGTGCACCGATATTAAAAAGATAAATTACTTGCACTATTAGGGTGTGTTTGGAAACCCGGAAAATGACTTCTGGAAGTCATTTTCCAGGTTTTTGGTGTTTGGGGAGGCTGAAAATGAAATAGTCAAAGGAAAATGACTTCTAGTCAATGGAAAATAAGGGCTAAAATCCGGAAAATGACTTCCCCTTTTTTTGGCGGAAGTCATTTTCCATCTTTCAATCAACATCCGTAGACACGCTTCTTCTCCCTTAACTGCTTCTTCTCCCTTCACTGCTTCTTCAACATTCAACAAAGAACAACAACACATCTCCTCCAACAATCCACAAAAGTTTCACCAACACTAGAAAAGCTACAAGGTATATTATTTTTATTTTTTTTAATTTTTTTTCCAAATATTATGGCTGGGGAAACCAGTGAGTATGGTTTTCCGCATCGGAAACCAGATCTGGTTTTCAATGCGGGAAACCAGTGCGTCACTGGTTTCCGATCGGAAACCAGTGTTCAGTGACGCACTGGTTTCCAATGATTGGAAACCAGTGAACACTGGTTTCTGATCGGAAACCAATTGGTTTCGAAACCAGTTGCAATTTTTTTGTTTTTATTTTTTTATGTCAAACCGTGAACTTGTTGCTGGTATTTTTTTTCATAGGCAACTCCCAAGTATGAAACATTGTTGAACAGGAAGATTGATTACTATGATGAGATGTCCATTGTTGTTGGCAGAGATTGTGCCATAGGACGGTTTGCAAAGTCTTTTGCAGATATTAATTTAGATGGTCCTCATGATGAGATATTGCCTGATAACATTGATAAAATCCTGCCTGATAACATTGATGAAGAAATTAGTAAGGGAAAAACATCTGCATCAACTGCGTCGTCTCAAAGATCCGGTCGGAAGCGAAAGACACTTGACTTGAAGGTGGATGAAATTGTTGAACAGCTCGGTAGCATTGCCACGGCAATTAAATCTTTGAATACCGGTATTGATGAAAATCAGTTGTTTGCGGATGTGATGAGCATAGGTGATGGCTTTCATGAGGATGACCTATGTAAGGTATTTGAATACTTGATGACAAATGAGGTTCAGGCGCGAATTTTCAATGCGAAGAATGCAAGTTTGAAGAGGAAATGGATTGAGAAATTTATTTCTTCTACGGATTAAATTATGTATGTTTTTTTTGTTGGTTAACATGCATGTTAAGACTTGGATTGGTTATGTTGGATCTTAGTACTTGTTATATTGGATCCTAACACTTTGTGGATTTTAATTTTCAAGACTTGATTATTTATGCGTTTATGCTGTTTCTAACATGTAATTGTGATTTCAAATTGTCATATTGTGAGAATAGTTTTAGTACTAGAAAGATAGAGAGCAATGGCATTAGAATTAAATACAATCAAAATTTATGTTGCATATAAAAATAAGTATGCCATTCTGTTCATTTTCTGGAAAATGAACCAAACACCAAAAGACAGTTTTCCATCATTTTCTGGAAAATGAACCAAACACCAAAAGACAGTTTTCCATTGTGCAGCCAAACACAGGAAAGGAATATGACTTCTGAAAAATGACTCATTTTCCAGAAGTCATTTTCCGGGTTTCCAAACAGACCCTTAAGTGAAAATATATGGTTGCACTTTTAAGTGATTTTACTATCACACTCGCACCGCACTTTTAACACATGTTACTTGCACCAAAGTTTGAGTTATTTACAAAAATATCACCGCGTCTTATTTTTTTTTAAAATTACATCTGATATAATAAATCTAGACACATGAACTGTTACGATTAATTCTCAGTTCTTTCCTGGACATTTGTTCTCACTTGAGCATGCCCATATATATATATATATATATATATATATATATATATATATATATATATATATATATATATATATATATATATATATATATATATATATATATATATGGAAGGGTTCAGGTGCGTGTATAGCTTCCCGTGCGGTTGTGCGGTTAGATCTGAGCCGTTCATCAAATTTAGATCAACGGCTCAAATCAATGAAAATTAATAAAAAAAAAAAAAAAAACACGTGTCTGGAAGAAAGAAGCATAAACTAAAAATGGCGCACCTTAAGTGATACAAACAATGACGCACCTTAAGTGATAGAAACACGCACCTTAAGTGTTAGATCTTAAGCACAACCTCATGCACATTAAGTACAAAACTCACACACATTAAGCACAACCTCACGCACATTAAGCACAAAACTCACGCACTTTAAATATTAACTCACAAACTTTAAGTTTCAACAACTATTGACATTAAGCACAAACTCACGCACATTAAGTACAAAACTCACGCACATTAAGCACAAATCCCACGCACTTTAAGTATTAACTCACAGACTTTAATTTTCAACAACTACTGACATTAATCACTAACCTCACACCCATTAAGCACAAACTCTACGCACATTAAGCACAAACTCCACTCACATTATGAACAAATCTCACGCACCTTAAGCACAAAAGTCCACACTTTAAGTTTTAACAACTACTCACGTTAAGCACAATCTCACGCACATTAAGCACAAAACTCACGCACCTTACGCACAAAACTCACGCATCTTATATACAAAACTCACGCACATTAATCACATATTCGCTCACCTTAATTTTGACTTAGATGCAAAAATTACAAAATTGCCACCGCGTTTTTTTTTAAAAAAATTTTTGATAATCCTAGACGTTGATTTAAGCGAGATGAATGGCCCACATTAAACCGCACAACCGCACATGGGCACCCTAACCGCACAAGAACCTAATTCTATATATATATAACGAATATATATGACGTAGGTTATTTGATATAACCGACGTCGTATGTATTTTTAAAAAAATAATAAAAAAATAATTTTAAATATTTAATGTCGGATTTTATAAAATCCGACGTTAAAATGGTGACGTTAAAACCGTTTTCTGTAGTAGTGGGTTTTATAATATGAGATTGTAAACACAATAAACAAGAATGGAGAAGAAGGAGAAATTCGAGTCATGTGTAACACACACTTTCTTTAAAATCGATTTGCTATTCATTTTGAAATTTGATTTGCATCCCTTTCACGCGAGAGAGAGCCTCTATGTTATATAATTCAACTTTCTTCTAAAAGGTTTGTAAGTGTACAAATGATATACGTTAAACCCCTTTTTATGTTGACTAATTCAATTGTCAAAAAGATTAGAATTTATTTTGAGATTAGCCTATGGACCGTCTCCTATCAAGGTGTTGTACAGCAAAAATCAAGTGCAAATATTTTAAGAGGAATTCGAAATTATGGATCTGATTATTAGTCAAAGCTCGACTTAAATAAATCACCATTTATTTATCCATCTACAAACTGTTGGATCAAAATGTAAGAGCGTTTGGAATGGACAATTCAGCCTTTCATCACAAGAATATAACTAGGGATGTCAATCGGGCCAGCTCATTCGGTTTCGGGCTAGTCCTGTCGAG